ATGAATATCCACCACTTTTCTCCTAACCGCCAGTCATCTGTAAATATTCATAGATATCCAGGCCTTTTCGACAGTTGATCTGGCCGATCTATGCCAAGGGCGGCTTCGTCAAGAGTGACCGGACCGGGCCGGTTTATGGATCTATAAATCACCGGGCAGTCGATCTGACCGCTTGGGAACACTGGGTCGAGGAGGGATTGGTCGTCAAAATTGTTGTACCCTTCAAGAATGCACCAAGAAGTTCTTGCAGATATTCAACGTCTCTGCGTTGTCTCCTCGTGTATAGCTTCGATAGGGTATTCGCTCCCCACGGTTGGTTCTCAAGATCCTCCAAGAACGCTGAACCTTCTTGATGTTGGTGATGCGGGCGACGGTCGTGCGAGAAGACTCAACACGCTGGTTGCCACCAGAATGGCTGTATAAACAACCCTCGATAGTGCCGCAAGATGTGGTGAAAATGGTCAGCTTCGGTACTCTCGTCGCCTGTGAATAGATATCAGTAGAGCGACTTAACATTAGATATAGAACATGCCGATACGTAAATAAGCAATCAGTTAGGACGGGAGCAGCGCTAGTAGGGCTTGTCTCCAGACCACCGGGTATGGCTTAATTATGGCATATGGGTGGTGGGTTTCCTACTTTGCTTCAAGATATCCATGGCATTCATGGCACCAATCCAAGGACAGGAAAGTTTCGACCATTGCGGGATATCTCAACTATTCGGTTCTTTGGCAATTTTGTACCGTTGTGTACAAGGACATATGGAGATACCGCGAGGGGAGGGTTATACACGACACTACACGGGCATCAAGTGATTTGTGGTCGATATATCGTAACAGGACTGAGAGGTGGATTCTGTGATGCGGTGCTGATAGATGTGCAACTGACTGGCAGTATTGTGCCCGGCAATTTCTTCGGCTGATCGATCGGTGATGCCGAGAACCCGGAGGCGAGTGATCCGAAATGTATCCGACATAACTCCGTTCTTCAATCCTAGATACTCGAACTGCTTCACATTCTTGGTCTAAGAAATTTTCGAATTGTTTGCGTCCTTTTTGTTACTTTCGGTCATGATTTTCAGCACAGTGGTTTTGAGGCGGAGGTGTTGTGGCTTGACGATGCGGCTCTGCTTCGGCGTGGCTGGTGAAAAGGGTTCTAGCCTCAAAGAATTGACCAAAAGTTTTTTGAACGCAGAAACGCCGCCGCCCATCATCGCCGCCATCACGGACGATTCCCCTCCACCACTCCCGAAACGTATCGCTTTCCCACGATCAACAGTTGCCACTCACCCTATGCCTCCTCGGCTGAAGCACGGATTATTATGATAAGGCCTCGTACAGGGTTCTCTGCACCGTCGCAGACTACTCTCCGCTACCTGCGCCAACTTGTGTTCCCCCTCTCCCCCGCCAACATCGAATATGGCTTCTCGAATCAATGCTGCCGTCTACGAGCGGCCGACCAGCAGAGGTTTCAATACGGTCAACGTCATGGAGGCAATCCCCGTGGTGGTGGTCGTAAACCCCACAATGGTGGTGGTAAGCCCTCCCCCACCTCTACCTCCACCTCCACTTCCGCCTCCACCGCAATTCCTACCACCACCGAAACTACCACCTCCGCCGGCGAGGCTGCCGTATCTCCAACAATCTCCCCTCAGGAAGAGGCGTACATGCTGGCCGCTGGACAACGGCGGAAACGGACACTTCGGGATCGAATTCCCTTCCAGGAATGCCAAGAATGGTACCGACAATTCAGAGTCATGTTACATCGGTGCCAGCTGAACCACGCAAAGCAACGGTTCTATGAAGCCAGAGAACAAAAAATCGACGAGAACTATGTGCAATGGGCTGGCCGGGATCTGATGGAGAGCTACAACCGTCTATCGAAACACGCCGAAGCCCCGGCGATATTCGCACACCTGGCGTTATTCCCGGACTTTGTGGGCACAAAAAGTCTCAACTGCTGTTTGGAAGCATACTTGATTCGGAAGAACTACCCGTTGTTCATGAGTACTTTCAAGCACTACACGAGGATGGAGATTGTACAGCCGGATCATAAGACGTATGAATTGTTTATACGGTGTCTTTTGAAGGTTGGCGGGGTTGAGAAGGCAAGGGATGTTATGAAGTTGCTGGAGGAGCAACGGAAGCCAGTGACGTCGAGCGGTTTTGCGGCGTTCTTGGGAGGTGTTAAGGATAAGAATTCTTCGCTTCAGGAACTGGAGGGCGACTTTCAATGGATCAAAACTAGGAAGCCGATTTCTGCCCCCGCTGTGTACAATATTATGATTGAGGAGGCATTGGAATATGGGAAGCCCGCGGTTGCCAAGCGCTATGTGGATGCGATGATTGCGGATGGGGTGAAGCCGAATGAGAAGACATTTGCGGCTTTCCTGAGAGTTCAGGCTAGGGCGGGGGACTGGGCTGGTGTTAGGAAGGCGATGCAAAAGGTTAGAGAGAAGGGAATGGTTTTCTCAACGAGAACACTCAATTCTTTGCTGGACCAATACGCGGACATGCAAGAGCTCGAAGGATTGGAAAACTTCTTTGATCTGCTCTGCCAGGAGGAAGGGTTTCCATCCACGAAATCTTACAACATCATGATCCGGGCCAACCTCGCAGCGGTGAATGAGGCCGGGGTGAACAGATGGGTTGCAAACATGAGGAAGTCCGGGTTTGAGCCCACCGCAGCAACGTTCAACACCTTCTTCCACGACCTCCGATGCTCCAAGGTCCCCCGAGCCCTGATGTTCCGTGTGTACAATAGCGTCTTCAACATGGACAGGAATAAAGTCGACGAGATATCCCGGGACATCCTCTACCGCAGCGTTTGGCCGATTGAGAGGGAGATCGAACCCCCACAACCTCAGAACATGGTTACAACCCCGGAAACGGGACAGACCAGCACTAGGGTGGCGAACGAGATGGAAGCAGCACTAAAGCGAGGAAACGTTCGAGGCGCTATGAACGCCTTCAGGGAAGCATCCTCATACGTCCCCATCACTCGGGAAGTCATCCAATTGCTAGCCCGGGCCTACTCTCTCATCCCAGACACACAGATCGATATTCCCATCGTACTCCCCAAGAGCCACGACCGAGCGTTCAAAATCAAAGATGCGGTAATAGGGTTCATGATCTTTTCCACCAACGCCGAGGCAGAAAAGGAGCCCGTCGTATACCCCAGTATTCTAAGCATCATCCACGGCGCGTACAAATTTATGGAAGCAAACGACATCCCGATCTCTCATAACATCTCAAACCAAGCTGCCGCAACCCTGATAAACCGTCAGGACCCAATCGGCGCTTTGCACATCATGAACGAAGTGTCGAAAACGCGGTGGGGCAGACGAACGGGTTGGGATATCGCCGGTCTGACGGTGCTGTCCCGTGCGTACCTGGTAATGGGCGATTTACGTGGTGCTACGTGGGTTGTGGATCGGCTGGTTGAGGAGAGAATGGTCCCGGACGATAAGTTCATGGAGTACCTCCGCCGCGGGATTAAGTCTTCGGGGTCTAGAGAGTTCCGTGAGGGTCTGGAGAAGTTGATTATTAAGTGCAAGGAACATAAAGAGCATGTGTGGACTTTGATGCATCAACGGGCTACGAAGGTGTTGGATACGATGCATCAGAGTAGTAACGTTGTTAGGGCGACAAAATAGATAGCTGGAAATGTATAGATGGGTGGGTGGGTGTTTGTGTGGAATTGGGATTTGGCGTTTTTGTTTTTGTTTTTGTTTTGCGTATATACTGCTACTACTACTGACATCGCTATGTGTTTTTATATCGGATTGAATGATTGATGATGGAGGGATGAATAGAATGGAGGATGTACATATTTTGGGGGACTGGGAGTGTACGATTGAGTAAAAGAGTGAAAGGGGGGAGAGGTGAATTTTATGTATCATATCTTTGTTTTTCATACTCTAGATGGACCATCCATGGGGAGGGTGCACCGGTGGGAATCACATAGACGAAGTGGAAGTGGATAATGCTCTGAAAAGGAGAGGATGAATGTGGTCTCAATCAGACGCAAAGTTGCAGAGTAAGAGTTTCAGCCCTAATTCGGGGTCATGAGTTTCATGATCAATATCACCCCTACTTATGATACAACACGTTTGAGCCCGGGCGGTGGTGAGACGGAGAGGTTTCAGGGGTAAATCTAAACGGAAAGTTTTTTCTTCTGTGAGTTGGCCACGTGGAAAAAGCAATGGACAACCAAAAGCAAAGGACGAGGGGGAGGGGGGAGAGAATAACGTTATCGATAGGGGTAGAGATGGATGCTACAACCCTAAACCTTGGGAAGTTTGATTTGACGGGTTTGTAGAACTAGGCGAGTGACAGCCACTCTACTGAAGAAGTATCAGGGAGAATAGAAACGAAAAGTCTACGCCGTGTGTAAAGATTTTGAGAGGTGTTGTGATATCGGTGAACTACCAACACCCTAATTGACTTTAGATCTGAGAATGAATATAGGCCAAGACATATCTCGACTCTGCACATTTCCCACCAGTCTATTTGAGTATGCCACACGGATTTTTTTCTTCGCTGGTCTGGTATGTGGTTTTCATGATGATGGTAAGAACTTCAAGACCTGGTCGTTTGGCAGGAATAAATAGCGGTGAGAAACTTACGCTGAGCTGTGCTGTTTGTAAACACTGAAAAATCGCTGGCTTAAGAGCTCTGGTTTTGAACTGCTACGAAGTGGGCCATAGATTTGGTTTATGTTCTATCCATGGTTAAAACGGCGGTAGATATAAGAACCGGATGTCTGGGAGGTTAGGACATGGCGCTATGAACGCCAGGTAGCAGGCTCGAAACTTGCTCTGATCATTCACAATTCTAAACTCACAATGTTGTAAACACTGAGGTCGCGGGATTGAAACTTGTGGGCGGGGGTTATTATTTTGCTCCTCCTTTGTAGTCCCAGGAACGCGGATTTGTTTAAGTATGCGGTACGGTTCACAGTGCGTGATCATGATTATAAATGTCGTTGGTATAAGAACCGATTATTTAGCCTAACAGGTAGGGTGTGGTGCTATAAACGCCAGAGGTAGCAGGCTCGAAACCTGCTTTAATCATTCACAATTCACAGTGCTGTAAACACTAGGGTTTCAGGCTAAAAACCAGCCCCGTTTTCACAGTGCTGTAAACACCATCGTCGCTGGCTTGAAACGTGCATGCGAAGATCATCTTTTGCTCTCATTTTGCAGCCTCATCCATAGCTAGGGTCGCGAATTGATTTAAGAATGCAGTCCTCAGCACATTGCATGGTTAGAAACGTTACAAGGACTGATCACTTAGTATTGCATGGTGATGATGGGTTTAGATCAATTTATGTACAACTGATTACATAGCTTAGCTGGCTGATATGGCGTTGCAAACACCAAGTGCGGGTTCGAAACCCTGTAGTGCTGTAAACACTATGATCGTAGGTATTAAACCTGCAGAGATCATATGGTGCTGTAAACACCAACGTTGCGGGTTTGAAACCTATGAACATTCTACTTTTGCTTTGGAATTTCGCCTGATTTCCAACTTGCACATACCCGCTAAGGGCCTACGGAAATTCCATTTGTTATATAGCTCTACGAGAAACTTTGCATGATGATGGGTTTAGATCAGGGTATATACAACTGATTCTTTAGCGTAACTGGCTGATATAGTGTTATAAACACCGGGGGCGGGTTCGAAGCCTGCAGTGCAGTGCGTAAACACTATGGTTGCAGGCTATATAAACCTTATCTGATCATATGATGGCAGTAAATGCTAGGGTCGCAGGCTTGAGTTTACCTCTCCATAACACAGGTAGTCGATAGTTGTGCTGTAAGATAGTTCAAGAATGGTAGCTGAAGCCGGACGCTTTCTCGGCGGCACGGTCAGCCCGGTAGATCAATATCGGCGCATTTACTCAGTGTTATTGACTGCAGAACTCGGTATGTTATCCAGGGGAATCCAAGCTCCCCCACGATAAGTTGTTCCGGGGATAAGTCTGTACAACTTAACTCTGGAGGCGTGAGCTCGGGACCAACACTGCAACATCGTTTACCATTCTAGCATATCCCCGGCTCCGGGGCCACGAGAATAGACGTACCGTGGCCAACACTTGCATACATCCAAACAGAGTGAAAGATATTAATCACTGCGGCCGCGTACGTGGGTCGTATAGTAGAGTATCCAATCACCGTGAGCAGATATAAACTTGCTCCCTCGCAGAATATTTAACTCCCGCACGCGGTTGAGCACGTTTTGTTCCCTTCCGGCTGCAGAGCCAAGCGATGAGCTTAAATCCACCTCCGCGCCGCAATGCTCATGACGCGGCCCGGGAACATTAGCGTGGGTCCCGAGCTAAGAACGTTCCTTGCGAGTGAGCAAGAATGAGCACATTATTACATCCCGTCCACAACGCAAAATGCCTTTATTATTAATATATAGTGTTGCCACTGGTTCTTGAGGTGATCCGCCGACCGAATCTAAGTCCGTTCGTTGTTACTACCGGCTGCTGTGAATATCGACATCTTCAACGTCAATATCATCAAGATGGACCACATGTCCGGTATGGACCACACCTCGTCTGCTTCGGCGGCAACAGCTACAGCAACGGCCGTTGCATCAACAGTAACAGAAGCAGCATGCAAAGTCTCTGTAAGTTCTCGGCTCTCCTTCCCTCCCCAAATTCCAACTGACGAGCTCCGGAATTGTAGATGCTCTGGAACTGGTACACAATCGACTCCTGTTTCCTCGCACAAAGCTGGCACGTCCACACCCATGCCCAATTCGCCGGCACCTGCATCTTTGTCCGTCCCCTCGTCCCCCCCCTCCTCCTGCCACTGCTAATAAACAAACACAGGTATTCGCCCTTGTCCTAGCTCTCGAGTTCGTCCGCCGAGCTCAACGCGAGTATGATAGACACATTGTACGGAAGTGGCAAGCATCTGTTGCGGGAGCGGAGACGGCGGCGGCGAAGTCGGAGGATGGAGAGGCGGCGTTGGGTTTGAGGACGGGGTTTTTGACGCCGTTGACGTTCAGACCGACACTGCTGCAGCAGGCGGTTAGGTGTGCGTTTTATGCGGCACAGTTTGGGGCTGCGTAAGTGTCTTCTTGAATGGTGAGGGAAAGTTAGGGTTTTAAATACTGATCTGCTGGATATAGATACCTCGTAAGCTGGTTCCACTACTACCATCACATCCAGAGAGCCTACTAACGTGTAATAAACCTGCAGACGATGTTGCTTGCTATGTACTATAACGGTAGCTATACTCCATAACTCCTTTACGTCTTTAACTAACATGGCACAGGCTACATACTACTTTCCATCCTTCTCGGAGCCTTTGTCGGCCACTTCTTGTTCGGATATGACAACATAATGATTGGGTGTGCATCCATCCACCATCCTGCCTTGGTTATCGTACAGACGCTGACGGTATATGGACATAGGGGAAAACAAGAAACGGGAACCTCATGTTGTTGATTGACAGTGTCGATGTTGTGTTAAGAAGGATTTCGTTTCAAGTTCATCCTGGGGTTGGGATGAGCTCCTTATGATTTGAATAGTTTTTTAGTGGCCTGGTTATGGATTTAATGAACCAAAAGACTTTGTTTGGTGGGGATGATTCCCCGCCCTGAGGATAAATCAGGCTTTCTCTTTGCATGACAATACCCTCTCTCTCTTCCGTGATGTAATATGAAGCTACTACAGGTACAACATTGAGATTGCGCCAGACTGCTAAAAAAAAATACAAAAGAGCAAAAGAAATATTCCGTTACGGGGAATCGAACCCCGGTCTGGCCGGTTTAATGCTCTAGGAATGAGAGCGGCCGATGGCTAGCCACTACACCATAACGGATGGCTTATGATGATCAGTGCACTTTGCTAAATACAATCTTTTATTGTCTTTCTGGGAGGGAATATCTGTAGATATCTGCTTGCACCTGGAAATATCTTACTCTAGGATATCCGTGGGTATTGAAGATACTTGCCAATATCTCTAGCTAGCGGTAAGTCAATCTACCTCCATTAATGACTGGCGGGAAGAGAAAGATTGTGCACCCAGGCTGCTGCCACTTATGACTCGGAATCAATGGCTTCTCATTGTGCACTCCTAGCATTAGTATCTCTGGTCTAAAATCTGCCGCTGTATAGACCGGTATCGGTTGGGTTCAAAAAAGTCCGGGGAATGTCAAATCCAACCGGGAGAACACTGCCATGGGCGCTGTGAGTGATGTTACATATCAATTTGCGTGAGTCATGACAATAGATATATCACTCCGCGCGCACACACTGACTGGGAGGCAAACTGCAATAACTATACTACGGGTTTAAACAGTTGTAATTAAACCAGTTTATTTCTTGAGCCCATAACTGTTTTTGGTTTGGTTTGAATTAGAGGCCTGGGACAAAGGAAAATCTTAAATACACGTCTTCCTGGCTTAGGGCCACCCTATCTCCGTCCCCTAAAATAGACAAAATATGTCTTTGTTCTAGGTGGAGATCTACCCTATAATTTATCCAATCTTGAGCTCTCCGGAACAAGAAAAAGCTATCACACCGGAGAACACTTGAATAAAACGCCCTCGCACTACAGCCTTCTATCTATAGCTCTAATAACGCTATTATTACTAACTTTTTCTCCTCTCTAAAACTTGCTTAATAGGTTTGACAAAAAACAACAAAAAGAAAGAAAAAAAACGAGTTGATATCGATCCGAAATACACCCCTCTTGATACTACAATTGCAACATCTCGTTTACACCGCTGCTCACTCCTATATTGGAGTACTTCCCATAAGAATCTGGGACTTAGCTCCAGACTTGCGCAATGACGGTCATCCTCACAACAAAAATACTTTTAAGGATCTGAGATTCTGGCCGGACGGTGATCATCTGGGAGTATGGTACCTAGCAAGCCCTCTCTCCCAAAAATCTCTGAATTTCCTCAGATCTGGGATTTGGAGGGTCTCATGATCCGACAGGAAGTACTCGGTTAGTCAGAGGTTATGAAATAGGATGTTAAAGAAACTTACCTGGAGTTCTTCCGTAAGTAACTAAGAGGGTCTGGAGACCCTCCAAACCACAGATCCGAGAAATGTAGAAATTTTTTGGGAGAGGACTTGCTACCATAACCATACTCTCCCAGATAATCACCGTCCCAGAATCTCAGATGCCTAAAAAGTATTTCTGCTGTAGTTGACCGTCGTTGTGCAGTCTAGAGTTAGCTAGGCACGGATCCGTAGGGAAGTAATCCGTTATACAGGAGCTAGACCGGTGCTGAATACAGGAATTTCACTGCTTCTGTTAACCTTAACCTTGTCCATAGTACATCTTCGTTAATTATATCAAAATCATGCTCGCCCTCAATAGGGGCGGGCCTGCGCGATGCCCGCTTTAAATGTAATATTTTCTTCACTTTTGCAACAACCATGCTGTCTTCAAACTGCGGCCTTGTAGTATGAGGGTGCTCAAAGTCGTAGTCAGCGTCGCAATCGTTCGCGTGAGCATCGTTTGCAGCAGCCTCCTCCGATAGATGTTAGCACTCCCCTGGCAATTAATGGATGTTCAGTTGACTTACATCCTCATCCTCGATATCCATGTATGCCGATTGCAGGCGCGGTTCCATACCCAAGAGGGTCGTCGACCATGCAATACCATTCCAAGACTTGACCGCTGCCGAATGTGCAGCCTTTTCTGCGGCAGATGCATTCTCTGGCAGTGCCTGGATCTCTCCCTTTTTCTATTCAAGCAAAACGTCTGTGTGGCTGGCAGTCTCTATCAACTTCAAGATCTTCTCGTTCGCTGTGTCCCGTTCCGCGGTAAGTCGTTCGATAATCTTCTGCAGTGCGGCGACTCCTTCCGCCAATTTTCCTGCAGCAGAAACTTGGTTCTGCATGGTCTCATTCACTGATTGAGTTGTGGAGATTTCTTGCCTCTAAATTTTCCTGGTCTCGTCCCTCACGAAATAGACTCCTACAGCACCTTGGGCTGCAAACTGTTTCAGCTGCTGAACTGCAGCACTCTTCCAATCCGCCACAGTGGTTTTTAGCGGGAGATTTGTTGCGTCCCCGCTATAACAGAAACGATAGGCT